TTTGATCTGCAGTGATTGGGTTCATAAAGTTTATTCTAGGCTCTCAACCGAGCTTGACAACCCATAATACATTGATGTAGATCTCATTTGGACCTGCGTTGACTGCACAGATAGCCGAGTCCTCAATAACAGGATGAATAAACTCTTAGGTCAATGGAGGCGAAAGTGTAGTGCTACGCTTAAGTATCACACTACCCAAGTTTCTTCCAAGACAATCGAAAAATTACACCCAACGTCCACAACTGTTTGATAATGCTACCCTAACAGTGATCCGAAGAACCCAACAGTTCATTTGATACCGAAGACACAAATCATGACCTACTAAAGGGTTCGTGGAGCAAACAACGGAAGTCGATAACAACAATAATGGAGCACTAGAAGAAAAAAGTCAAGAAGAATCAATAGGTATCACGCATAAACGTTGCACAAAACAACACAGACATCCCCAAGACTCCTCTACTCAAGGACCAGCACAACAGCAATGTTGACCCAAGCAAACAGAATCCTAAAAGGCTGGAGGTACCGGGAATCTCTGTGTAAAATAACTGCAGAAACATCGTGAGAAAAACCAGCAATCCACATAGTTTCCCTCGGGCACTTCCCCCAGTGAACTCAAAGCAGAAGTCTATCGCTTGAGAACAAAACAAAACAAGAAAACAGGATCCAGATGCTCGCTGGCCGGAGTCCAGAACAGATAACGGGGATTCACCGCATTCAACCTCAATGAGAGACATGACTTACTATTAATCGTCGCTCAGGAACCGGTGATTAAAAACATCGCTAAGCACATGAAAGAGAAAAACACAATCGTGTTGGGTGTTGTGTGTATTGCTGGCTGTCGTCCCAAAATAGCAAGGAAATCGGCAAATAGCATTGGGGAATAGATACCACCAAAGTCAAATGACATTTTGAATTTCTGGTGAAACATCACTATATAAAGAACCGGGAATTCCTCGTCTATGACATTTATCCTTGCGAAAACAATGACCATTCTCAAAAGGGGAGCAGACAGTCGCACTCACGGTGAACAGCCTGGAACCTCAATCACTTCAAAGATTAATGTTGATAACCTTGAAAAAATACCTCCGCAAATATAAAGAAATAAGTCCCGAGACCAAATCTAGTAGAAAGGAGATTCCCCCCCCCCCCAAATTTTACTTGAAAGATATAACGACCATCAAACAGCTTAGAAACCCATAGATGCACACGTGTGTGTTTAATAACTTTTGAAGCAATCTGAACGAGAGATATAAAGTGAATGTACAACAGCATTGAAAGAAAACGGACCGCACACAATACCCTTCTACTATTGACTTCATTCTAACAAAAAGTAGCAAAGATATCACGGAACTTAAAAACGGAATCTCTTTTGTGCACTTCAAGTTTTGCCCAGCGGAAAATCTCAAACCCAAAACCAAGAACCAAATATTTTGCAAAATCAACGACACTAAAAGGGTTTATGAGCGGTCCAGTGCGAACTAAGCCACATCAAATCCCAAAAGGCACTTTGGCTGCACCCAAGCTCTGGCTTTATCGAAAAGAAGTTGGTAAAGCTCCACGTCAATGATCAGTTCTTTACTATGGTCAGATAATGTTTCGACTCCTTTCCCGTTTCATTTCAAAAGTTCTTTCTCCTAGTAGTAGTATAGTACGAAACAATGCATGTCTCGTCTGTACGAGTCGTAGTAAAGACCTGACCATTTCTCTATCGGACATGGGAAAGGCCTTTAAACCCTTCAAGTTCTCTAAATTTACGCGATCGGACTTTATTCACCTAGGTGTCCTGAAACCTGTAGAATTGGAAGTACGTCTTCAGCTAGTGATGACATTCATTTAGCGGCTTCATACATACAAGGTTCAGATTGGAAATAACCCTAAATTTACTAGTGAAGGTCAAATACGAGCATTATGTAGCCTTCAAACAAATATGCGAACGGCCTTACTTGCAGGTCCTCAAACCAAATAAAGGACAAGAGATAGTTGGATTGAAAAGAAAGGAAGATATACATAGGAATATATATAGCCGTCTTGAAAGATCAATCAAAATTCAAGCTAGCTATTGCCCCACACAGTTGGTTTGGGAAAATATTGCTCTTGTGATTCGAATTTTCCTGTTTATGGTGTTTCTTTCAAGAAGTTTAAATGAAAGGACTTACAACAGTTCATTGCAACTCATTTGTTTTTTTATAGCTTACAGAAAACACGCGTTACTAATGTCCCATTACGCCGCATACAATGAATGTACTACTCCGCGTATCGTAGCCCAAATCCGCGGTTGGTTCAGGCTCCCAAACCGGTCTGAATGGTCGTGTACCAGCTTGTAATTGCCAGAGGATAACAGAAGAGAAACGGTTTAATCAATCAAACGATTGATGTATAGCTAAATAGTGGATCTCAATATCACAAACGGCAACCATCCAAAACGATTTATGGTCATATACAATGCGTGTGATTTCAACTGACTTCACGTTTTTTCCGTAAAAGGCAGGAATTCCTTGCCTGGCTTCTGTACAATCTGATATTCCTTAACACAAAACAGTTGACGCATCTGTGATGTTTTAATGAATGATGCTACATTTTTGTTACCATTGGAGATATATTTATCTCTTTCTGTGATTTCTGATTATATTCGATTCAACTTCTAAGGAATTCTATGCAGTCAGGTTGACAGGTAAGCTATGATGTTTGCTGATATCAGACTAGATCATGCAAGCAAAAGAACTTTCATATATAAAACATATGTCAATTACATGTTTATTATTATGGACCAAAAAGATATATTGAAAACATGGTAGATGAACTTGATCATTTTCACCCGAATATACCATTCACTCGGAAACTTGTATAGTTAAACTAATTGTTTTTCTTCGACGTTCTCGTAACTCAACGATCAAGTTGGTCGGTTCGTCAATCGGTATTTCGCAACAGCTTTTCACAGGTGGCCCTATCTGAAACGAATATTTGTGAATACTTTTCCTCCTATATACCAATTGCTAAACCGAGTCATTTATTTGTTTAGATAGCCAAGCAAAGGGAGATACCTGACTGCCAACTCGAGGAACTCCAAAAAGAACATGCAGGGAAAACCACTTCGTGCGGGTGACATCAGAGCGCATCGAAAGCGGTCTTCAAAAAATATTCTATACCTCATCAATACACTTCTTTTCTGCCCTTCAGAGAATGCGTTGTTTTTGATATAATGTCTCACTGCATTCACCTCTAAACCTTCAATTCAAAGAAGAACCAACAGGTCGTTTGGCACCTAAACAGCTAATCATGTCCCAAAATAAGTACTAAAGGCAATGAATCGATCTAACCCATTAAGCGTAAACGTTACACATTCACTTATCAGCAATCTTCACTTGCTTGAGATCACAAAGGCAACCAAACCAAGACCTTTTATGTAGTGTTACGTTGTCAAACTCTACCTTGGCCTCGAACCACCACATTTGAAAGCTACTTACACCGTAATCGCTCGTTACTTTTTCGGTTCTCAACAAATTTCCTGATGTTACACATTTACCCTCGAAAAGATTATAGGAAAGAATTTTTTCCAGCAGCATGTATATTCTATCAAATGTATCCACAAAAGTTTCCTGTAAGATCTGAGTAAATGGGAAAACCAAGGTACATTGACTTCAGAATGAGTGGTGCAAGAAAAGCTGGTTTTTCTTTAAACATTATCTCGAATAGGGTTACATCGTTGTTTCATGGATGTATTGGTATCATTCATTAATTGCACATTGTGGTGATCTTTTTCAACCTGTTTTGACAGTCATTAATCTTTAGGTATGTAGGTGAGGTCGATTTCTCAAAAAGAAATTTGCATACTTCGATATAAAAGCTTATTCTGTCGATTGAAACCAACATGTGAGTTAATAATACATCATCATGCTAAAATTGACCTTTTCTACTGAAGAGCACTTTTTGATGCAGATGCTGTGTATTTTCTGTTCAAGAAAAAAGTCTCTCCTCACCGTGTTAACCCCGAATTAATGGATCCACCTTGGCCAACGTATCTGAATATCACGTCTTTGTATAAACGTTTCGCTCTTACTCATTCTTTTCGGGACCATAATAGCAGATTAGTTTAACGCGAAAATTACAACCTTGATTGCTTGCAGTGGATACGTTTATTTAAAGTGATTTGCGCTACATAACAAGAACTCCGATCGATAATCACATTTCTTATCGGCTCACTGATCTTTGCAGTTGCTCACA